AATTTGCTTATAAAAATGGCGTCCGAGGGGGTCGAAGAAAGTGATGCTCGTATCTCTAATACAAGAGCAGTGAAGAACCTATGTTTATTATATTTGTCCATTACTCCACCAGGCCTATCTGTGATGTTAGTATGAACTTATTCTGTTGACCCCCTTCCGTTGACATTTTTAACATTTTGACCGGTTTTCTCTGACAACCACTCTTAATAGATCTTAATACACTATGAACTTTATGCAAGCAAAAACTAACAAGACGTGTACTTAAAGGGGGTTATGTCACGCTATTTGCTATCTTTTGTCTTTGCATAAATTGAATTCTAAAAGTGACGGTCTAGGTTTGTTATTTCAGACTATATTTTATGGGCATTGAAACTGGTTCCTGTCGTCTGTTTTTATGAACGGCAAGGATGTATGTGAATTGAAACTTATAGTTTTGATGCCATGCCAATGCCAGCAAAAATCACTAGAAAAGTATTCTTTTTAGTGCTCTCTAATGAAACTTGTTTGATTTATATTTTCCGCTCACTGTAAAGGAGCATTTAGTGTATAGGTAAAAGTACTAAGTGACGACTTCAGCACAGTATTAGCCTAAAACAGCAATAACCCGATGACGTAGCCCCTTTAATAAATACACAAAATGTGCCATATAATATATCAATGGGATGTAAAATGTCTTAACCCTTTTAATAAGTCATAAGAGTGACCAACATGAACTTTCTCCGAACAATATCAGCACAATCAAGGGAAAAGGTTATGAGAGTTGATAAAATGGTCACCAAAAACAGTTTAGAGAATTTGTATGTAGATATTGGGGCTTAAAGGTTAATTCTCATCGTAACAAAGACGAACTTACTATTTAAAACAGTTGTGGCTTCTTTGCTTGTATATGTATAACTGCTAGAGTACTTTAACTGATGTATCCAATCTATTTACCAAGAGTCTTTTAAGTGTACGGAAACTGGCAGTAACAATTTTGTTTCGAATCTTCGAATCTTTCGTTGTGAAAACGTCGTGAAATAAAACATGTGCTTAATTATCTGTAACGCTTTGGTGACGGTTTCTCATCGTATGGTAAGTTTTTCAGAGCTCCTATAACATTTCAATTTCCACCCCGACAGTGATTTAGTTTTTCTTTTGCGTAGGTTTTTACTAACAAGGTGAAGTTTGAAGCCATGATGAAATTGTGACTTGTTGTGTTGATCAAGAACGAGCTCACGTGTGTAAGTCTGAATCCCCTTTAAAGTTGTGTTTTCAACAGTCCTCGTTTGTGTGCGAAGCGCACTTGTACCCTGGACAGACATAACACTGAAAAAAAAAATAAACCTTCAAGTTCCCAATTTTCCCATTGCAGCAAGCGTGGGCTCATAATCCTGCACGTGTATTTTGTTTGTTTGTTTGTTTGTTTGTTTGTTTTTTTTCAGGAGAATGTTATTTTAGGCAGTGACTACCCGTTTCCGCTACGGGCCAGGAAAACTCATCGAGGATGTGTACAAAGACGACCTGGAACTTAGGGTAAGAGAACAGTCACATTCAGTTTCACGAGTTTTTTTGCCATTGATAAAACGCCACCGTCGTCTTAAACTCCTTATTGCTGTGATCCGGAAATTTTGCTGGTTATATCGAGGTTCTTTTCCATACATGATACTGTAACTGGGGCAGAAAATATCGTTTGTTATACCGAGGACTTTCGTTATATCGAGGTTCCACTGTACGAAAGAGAATGAGAAATAGGCCCCACCCCTCTCCCCAGGTTTTGACTTTTGTCCCAATTCGCTCTTTCCCATCCCTTTGAATCCCGCATAATCCCCACCCCCTCTTCCCCCCCCCCCCACTCCCCCGCCAATTCTCTCTTGCAGAGGTTTAGTCATACCCTGCTTTAGTAGATTGTTCTACATGTACTTGGCAATTCAACAGTTATTCAACAAATATTAGCAGAGATCGAACAAAATGGTTCTCAATTAATTCCCTGTTATTTTGGAAAATAGGTGGAGTAAGTAATTGTTCGGGGGGGCATTTGTCCATCATCGAATCTCTCGTTCATCATTCTTCTCAACTAAGTTTTGTATGGGGATCAGGCTCCGCCCCGAGGACTAACCCCTTAACCCTGCACTTACCATTTTTGACAGACAAGATACCCTTTCCTATACTTCCCATTGGCAAATGGTGTCTTTCAACATACCTCGTTTAGAACTTTACATCCCTTTTTTTAATGCTATAAATGCACTCTTTTAAATATGAAACAGGAAAATCACGAAACCAGAACGTTTTCTCGAGTTTTTAACATCTGTAAGCCCTGTCTGCGTCTGAATGTACGCTTTTTTATGAAAGTTACTGTTCTTTTAGCTGTAGTAGCCAAGAGTTTACTAAGTAAAAAGACGGGGACGATCGATTCAGCTCGGGATGAAAGGAATGAGAGTCTCTGCCAAGACGAGTTACCGGAAACCCTGAAAATAATATTGTTTACTATACATGTAGAAATTTAGAGATACATCCTTCTGGTAAAATAACACTTAGCTCTGTAACAGCTCTATGCATGTCACGTTGTACAACACGAATGCACTTGTTACATGCATTTAGCGCGTCAGTGAAGAACAGTTTGCTCCTTTTCCTGTGGATCTGAAAATCTGAACCAATGCCGTGAAACACCGTAAACTGCCGCTTATTCGCCATTGTTGAAAACGCGTCCCCCAAATGTCCCACAACGCACTTGACAAACTTCTTGGCCCAGTCAAAGTGGCGAATAAGCGCCTTGACCTATTAGCCCTCCTCTTCAGTTATGGGCCGATATCATGGCTGTAAACAAAGAAACAAAAAACGTCCGAAAATAAGCCCCACCGAAAATAACACGCTGCCCTCAGTTGCTTGAACTAAATTGAAGTCGATTTATAATGACGTTTTTAAGCCTTAATTAACGAGCAGTAATTGCAAAAATGTATTTTGATCAGCAATGCTACAGCTTATTTATATGCCATCTATACACCCCCTCAGCTACTAAAGCCCCTCCGTTTATACGCATTCCCGCTGAATTAAAACCCGTTAAGAAGGTGTACAATCCCACGGCTTATAAGCGACAGCTAAGAGTGAGCAAGGTTTGACAGGACTGGAAATGGCTCGAATCTTCGGCTTCATGGCCGTGAAAAAAATTGTGCTACGCTTTTGTTCGTTCTTGTTTTATTTTATTTTTTTTTTTTTTTGTGCAAACAATCATCTCACTAACATCACAGCAGTAGAGGAAGCAGATCCTTTTTTCTGTCACGGCCTCTGACACATATCTAACACTAACAGAAGTTTAATTTTAATTTCAGTGGCTGTAACATTGCCAAATGAGGAAAGTGATACGTCTTAAGCGTGAAAAGACATAGCTCAGCAAAGTTGCAAAAATAGACAGACGTTCGTACGTGGAGGGTAGGGAGGGGGGGAGCAAGTTTGTGGCCGGCCCCCACCATAAAAACGTCTGTAAAATTTGGCGACATTGAGGAGCTATATCTTGGTTAGTTTTCAACAAATCCGACTTTTAGACTTTGAAATTTTTCTAATTTAAATGCGTTCTTTCCATTGGTTGCTTTAGCTTGTCCGTGTCAAAAGTTGAAAATAACGTGGAATTGTCTATCCTGAATTGAACAAGGTACCCTTTTGGGCAGCACCTCCCCGTATAGGTTATTCTAGGTACCCCCCCCCCCCCCACTCAACCATCAAGGTATAAGATATGGGAGTTTAAATATAAACACACTAACACCAGACACGTTAAAGCTTGCTTAGCTGGAGCTTAATGGAGCCGCTACTTTTTCTGACATAACATAGCCAACTTGGACTGAAGGCAAAGTTATATTTTTGGAAAGGGAAAGGGTACCGTTAGAAACACAAAATCGTGATAGCATGCATAAAATTTTGCTACTTTTGTAACAATTTATATTCTGCCATTTATATTTGGAATGTTCATCTTTTGACCCTGTTTCAGTACTCTGAAACGGGCTTATGAACAGAGAATAAAAAGGTGCAAAAAACTTGCCATATAAGGAAATTAAAGGAAACAAGCAAAAACAAACAAACAATACACAGGAACAGAGGATTTACTTAAAATATTTGCTATATTAATTGGTGAGCACGTAGCAGTGATTTCAGAAAACGCTGTGTTCTCGTTCAAGTCTCACCGCCATGGTTCAGTATTTCGCTGTTTTCCTGATTCTCTCTTTTTTTGGCGGCTCACTGGGAACAACCACCTCACCTCAGCAACAAACAGACGCCTCAAAGTTACAAGACTTATGCCAGGTAAAAAATCCATAAACATTGAAGGAGTACTACGCCTTAGATTAGGTACATCCAGAAACCGTTTCATTACTCTCACGTCGTTATGATCATTTACTAAAAAGTACCCTTTAAAAGTGTATGGCAGTTAGTATTTAAAAGTCCTCGCTTCAGCATGATCTTTCTTTGAAAGCCTAGAGCCTGTACATTGTTAATTGTTTATTTTCTCCAATTCCATCCAAGTCCATTCCAGGCGAGCACGCTTTAAAGAGAATTATGATCTCCAAGGTCCATTCCGTGCCTTGAAAACAAAGAGAGACGGCTGGCGGGTATAAACTTTGCTCATTTTGGTCTGGAATCATTGTTTGCGAGGGAGATACGAGCGTGTATGAACGTATTTATCGTTTCAATTTCAAATGAGAAGGAAAGATAAATAATTAATTATTCGAATTCTTTTTCGTTGCTGTTCTTAAACTAAGAAATGGTGACATGCATAATTTCTTAGAGACAAGGCCTGAAAACTAGTATGGATTTTAGAGTCTGAAAACGGGTGTAAAAAATGACGTGTTTTGGTCTGAAATAGAGTCAGGATTTGGGGAACCGGACGGCACATCCCTAACAAGAATTCCCAGGAGTACATTCCCTCCCCGCCCCCTCCCCCCCAAGACATTTATCATTTAAGATTCCGTGTCGTCTTCGTCTGTGCTAATTACAAGTCATCTTAACTTTAATTTCAACTTTAATTTCAGCGATCTATGCTGGGTTTCCCTGGTATTCCAGGATCAAATGGTATACCGGGAGTGCCGGGCGTCCCAGGGCCACACGGACCCCAGGGAAGGGAAGGTGTAAAAGGTCAAATTGGTGATAAAGGTCCGCAAGGAATGACGGGTCCAAGAGGAGACAGAGGCCGTGAAGGACTCCCTGGGAAGAGTGGACCGCGTGGAATTAAGGGAATGAAAGGTCAACAGGGACTTCTGGGAATGAAAGGAGAGCAAGGAGCTGTGGGAATGAAGGGAGAGCCAGGCATTGTGGGAAATCAAGGAAGAAAAGGAGACAAAGGAGAGAAAGGAGAAAGCGCCAAAGCAAGTCAAGCAAGTGTAGTACCACAAACCAACTGGAAACAATGTGTGTGGAAATCACACAGCGACACTGATAACGGAAAGATTAAGGTAAATAGAATAAGAATCATAGCACACTCCTAAGAAAATTCATTCCTTTTTTAGTTAAAATCTTTCAAAGAAGAGCGTCTCCCCTCTCACTCACCGTTTGCCAAGCAACACATTACATAAATAACTAATAAGTTATATTTTCCTCTACTTTGGTTCTCTTTGAACAAAAAAAAAAAGAAAACTATCATGCGTGATAAAATTATTCCTGGCCATATGGATAAGGACAACAAAAATTTAAGCTATTATAGAGTTTTTAACATTAGGAAGTAATATTGACCGGAGTTGTTAGAATCAATCATTACACAAGGTTGCTCGCCTTACTACAATACGTTTGATTTGTTTGATTTTATTCCAGGACTGTGTGTTTAACAAACTGCAGTCTAATTCAGCGCTCAGAGTCTCATTCCAGGGAAACATGAGGGTCCAAGGTAGTAGTAAGTGTAACCGATGGTATTTCAAGTTCAATGGAAATGAATGCAGTGGACCAATGACGATTGAGGCTGCTGTTTACAACTGGTGGCCATCTGGGAACCCTAATCTGCTGCATCATCGGTCATTTGAGGGGTACTGTGACAACATCCCACAAGGCGCTGTAAGAGTGGGATTATGGGTAGGACTCTGTGGTAGTGGCCACAAATTGGGTGATGCTGCAACTGGGTGGAGCTCAGTGTCCCGGATAATGATTGAAGAAGTATCTAGGCCTCAGTCCTAATAAGGGGAGTCTTTTTAACTTTGGCGCTGTTTTAATTTCCTCAGAATAGCTTTCTACAAATATAGACTGTAAAGCACAAGGTGCGAAAGTATTTTTTTTTTAATTTGATTATTTTCTTTTCAGCCCTTGTGGCTACTTTCGTCGTATTAGGTTGTCAATAGTAAACTCTAATAACAGTGTCAAAATTTTGTATTATTATGTCGGCATGTTAGTCCTATTCATGACTTTTGTGCAGCAGTTCTTTGTTATGTCAAGCACGCTTTTTAGCTCCTAAATTTGTGTGGAGGTACCTTTCGTGACGACACAGTAATCGGCTGAGCCCGTAGGGAATTGGTTCCCCACGCAGCCGTTTTGTCTTGTCACGCGACGCTCTTTCTCGTTGCGTAACGAGACAAAATGGTTGTTAAGGAGTAGCGATTGATTGGTTATGCCTTTTTAGGTGATATTTTATGGATTCAAAATATATCACTACAACTTCAGGAGAACCCAGTCTTAATTTTGGCTTACCATGTATACAATCAGATTGTCTATAGATATGTCAAATTAAAGGTCGTAATATAATCTTTCACCGCAAAAAAAAAAAAAAAAACTACTGAAGAGGTGATCTTTGCCTTCAAAATATTTTAGAAAATCTTTAATTAAATCGCAAGATGGAAATGATTTAATTAAATCTTTAATCAAAGCACGATTCTTTTTGTAGCTAAATGCTTCGAGGCAAAACCATTATTAAAATCGGAAGGAAAATGAATACGATTTTAGGATAACTTGATTATCTATAGCCTGTGTGCCAGGGTTCGAAAGGGAAGGGAAGTGAGTTTAGGCACGAGACCGCGCGCGAGGGAGAAGGGAGGAGAGGCGCATCCCCCTTCCTCCTTCCTCGCGCGCCATTCGTGCTTCCCACGCGTCCATATCCTCTTTCCTTGCCCTTTGGCATACTACAGTGTCAGTCGAAATTGTTGGGGCACTTTTGTGTCTCCTAGTCCCCTCAATGTTGGTGTACAAGGTTTGGTGACTGAACCACGATAAACAACTTTGAGAGGGACAAGGGGAGCACGAGAAAGAAAAAAAAACAGCGCTTGGTCTAAGTGTTCCAACTATTTTTGTCTGAGACTGTAGATTATCTCTCAAACAGCGGGAAAAAATGAAATGTTTTTACTCGTAACATTGAGAGTCTTGTCAAACCTTCCCGTCATTACATTTTTATAGCGTCTTTGTTATATTTCTTTCATGTCAGTGCAGTTTGCTTCAATGTGGCATTAAATCTTTCAATAAAAGAAAACGTCTCACATTATGTAAAAATCTGGTTCCTTATTTTTCTCTAACAAATAAGATCAGAGAGATTGAACTCATTATGTCATCTCCTAACAGAGAATTTCCCGTGCAGTCTCACATTATCGAAGTATCCAAAACAGCTTTTTGCACACTTGCCTGTTCGTTTAAGCAAAAATAAAAAGCCCCTGACAATGATGTGAACTATTTATATTTTAAGAAAAGTTAAATACCAAAATGTTTTTGATCAGATGAATATAGAGTTACTTAGTTCCCCCAGGGTTTCTTTCCTTAGCAAATGGAAGGAAGGGGGGAGGGGGAAGGGGTTGCTGTAAATTACTCGATAGGCCTACCGGGTATACCATACAGCAAGTTATAGCAATGCAAGTTAAGACGTCACAGTACGAACGTCCGTCGAGAGTACAGTTTTCTTTTATTTCAGCAAGGCTTTTATTTCTGAGTACGTTTTTAAATACCATCAGTGTAACGACTTTATTTTTTTTCTGTGTTTTTGATGGCCGTCCTTGCAAACACTGACCCTTTATCTTAGCCTGATAGCAACATCATCCTTGGAGAGCAGTCGGTTCTACCATTAACACCCGTTCAATTTAATTGGGACTCGTTCAATATAATTGGGACTAATTGCTGTTAGCTGTTATTGCCTGTTATCAGCTATTAGAGCCAATCAGGATCAAGATTATCTTCGGCTAAGAGCTAGTAAAAGCGTTTCCTTGATGTTCCAGCCGGAGGTGAACTAATAAAAGGTTAGAATATCCAAAAAAACATTGCACCTATGATAAAAGAGTAGCAAGGTATAACAAACTGGATCACTGGATAATGCAATTCTAGAGCTCTTATAAGCTTGGCCATTAGTATATGAGCCATTGTACCATTCTTTCTAAACATGGTAACTGTGCTGTCTGCTCAAAATTAAAAACAAGCTGAAAATCGGATGTTAATAAAGATGGGAAGAATTCTCGATATTTTGTTGGCGTTTTTAATAAAACAATTATTCCACTCGCGCTTTTATTTATTTATTTTTTTTAACTGTTGGATATAAGATGATCAGTAAAGCCAACTCGGCGCTACGCGCGTCGATTCATAAGAGCTCCTCTGATTTTAAATCTGCGTCGGAGGAAACCCAAGGAGGATGATTCAAAAACGCTTGTGCTATAGTAAATAGCCGCCTTTGCCCAGTAAGAATACGCGTAAAATAAACAAAGGAACTAAGCCTTGGTATCAAACAACATGGCTTATAAACCCAAGGCTTCTTGCAGTATAATTATAGTGATAACTGCATGCAAACCACCTTTCACAACTAACGAGAACGCGTAAGAATCACCGAATTTCGTTGGTCACCTGACCCTAAACTATAGTTTAAATATCTATAAGAAGTAAATTGAACTGTTCTAAAAGAATAGAGATAAAAGCAGTTTGCCTTGGTGCTTGCTTGACGACGTAGTCACCTTTCAGCCCTAGAAATAGGTCAAGCCGAAAACAAAACTGAATCGTTAGCAAAATTAATTTTCCTCTTGCATTACTGAAGACGTTTGATGTCGCTATACCGTTTACAGAAAGGAAAAAATATAACTTATACACTTAAATTCACCAATATCAGTAACTTTACCATAAAAGCAAGTCAAAAAGTTGGTGTACCATTGAGACTGCGGAGTTTGATATCATGATATTTTGATTGTATTACATTCTTTCTTATTTGTAAATAATTCTAACTTTTTTGTTGTGTCCCCAATTAGTTGTGAAAACTAAATACATTGACACTTTAATGAAGCTGTTACTTACTTACCTTCTTACGCCATTTTATTTTATTTCGTAGTGAACTGGTGCACAACCATCTTCCCAAGAGGCGGTAAATAATGGTTGAGATAACCGCGACGCAATGAGCGTCGCTCGAGTCTTTTTAGCGCCTTACACCGACCCTGAAGAGGGCTAGATGTTTAGCCACAGTCGCATGCTTTGATTGGCTTCCGTAACTCGGAACAGTCCTTAGCTATACACCGACTGTTTTAGGACGGGCGTGAAAATTGCGTGTCCTTTAGCGACAACCAACAGATACCAAGAAAGAGACGAAAATTGTTTGTTTTTTTTCGTGGTAATTAGACTTGATATTTACAGCAACCTGACCCTACCCTGTTTAAGACAAAGAAACATTATTTTATGACCCTAACTCATTTCGTTTCGCAAACAGAATTAAGCATTTTTTAAACGAATATCAGGTAATTCTACAAAAGGATTAGTCATAGCACAAAAGTAGGCCTAACTTTCACACTCTTTAAAAGGCATCCCGTCCAAAAATCACCTCGTTAAAGAGGCTAAATGGTGAATTGGTTGACTCTGTCTGAGACTCACTATAGTAAAACCTTAAAACCAACTTCATGTTGTTTAGAGGCCCTTAACCTTTTAGGCTAAAGAAGTAAGGGAATCCCCAGGGTCTTCAATTAATATTGAATTGGCCATTTTGCGAAAGGGGTGATAATTCGTTATTTATAAAAACGGGTGTAGTTTTGTATGCTTCTTGTTCTAGCCTGTAAAACAAGTGTTATTTACTTACTTTTGTTTGTTTCTGATTTTCGCTTTTGCTCGCGGGCCAAGGTAGGCACGAGGCGATCATCTTAGAACGCTTGATTTTGTAGCAAAAATGAGATCTGCTGACAAAAAAAATTTGAAGACAAAAAAGCTTTTTGATTCTGATTATAAACAAACATCCTCTAGTTTGCCGACACGTTTACTTAATAAAACTATATGACATTTTTTCTGCTTTAAAGCTTTCCTAATAATCTTTCTCCTCTGACCTGGTGCCTTTAAATTAGATTTGATTTTTAGCAGATAATTGTTCTTGGCGATACTACCATCTGAAATGACTTAACAAACTGTTAATTCTTGGGCGCTGCTAAGCTAAATACGACTTGCAAAACCCGAAGGCGAAAGAAGGGAAATGACCTGTGAGAGACTCCAACAAATGACGAAATCTTGCCCTGATAATAGGGTTCAATAAGTTTTTTTTTTTTTTTTTTTATTATCATTCTATATGCAGTCGAAGCTCTGCGCCCAACATCTTCCGTAATGCATCAGTCAATTCCAGCTGCGCCCAGCCCCTCCACCCCACCCCCACCACGGGCTACTGCGGGGCATTGGCCCGCCGTTTCAGTCTCGGGGGTAGGGCATTTGCAAATTTTGTGCTGCCCGGGGGACGGGCATTTGCCAAACCTGGGGCTCTACACAAGCTTTTGAAACGTACGCGGTTTCCTATCAGAAAATAACTACACAGAGGATTTTACTGGAAAAGCAAGCATATTGGCTCTATCAAGGACAGGAACAAATTGAAGAGGGTTTTAAAGGCATGTTCTCGATTTTATGCATGAACTTCTTCGTTGCCTATATTGAATCAAATTTCTGTTGATATTACGTGTATTTGAATAACAGTATAAAACTATTATATTGGACATAACATATAACTTTATACTGCTCTATTTATTTTAATGCCAATAATTTTATAACAATACTAAAACCATAAACTGGTGTCGTCGCGGCCTCAAGAATCCTAGCACTATTACAAACTAATTTAAGGAAGACATTACTTGAAACAAAAAATCGCACTTTAAACTGCTTAAAATGGCACTATTCGCAATTCGACTGTGCGATCAGTGAAAAATGTTGCAGTTTGACGGAGGACAAGGCATTTGCTCTCTTTTTTCGTCCCCAGGGCAGCTGGA